GAGGGACAGACAGAGAAATGTAGACATAAGAGAAAAGTGCCAAACAAACGACGTTGTCAGATGGATAAGGCAGAGAAGAAGAGAATGGAACCAGCATGCCAATAGAATGGGCCCCGACAGAATGGCCATAATAATTCGCAACAACGTACCCCATGGCAGAAGACCTACTGGACGACCACCTAAACGTTGGCAAGACAGTTGGCAGTCAACCTCGCAAGAGTTGCTTAGACGAGGAGGAAACCTGAACTAAACAGGCGATACGCCTTCTAAAAGAAGAAGAAGAAGAATTACACTTTATACTTTTTAGTTTATGATTATTCACAATGTTTAAAAAACACAATTAAAATTAATAGAATATCCTAGCAACAGCTGGCATTAGTCAGTTGTATCCATAGAGAAAGCCTAATATTTAGATTATAAAACAATCAGCTTTTGATTTCTAACCACAATTTCTCTTGAGGAAAGATGTAGAATGTAGAATGAGTAAGAGAGGGGGTTTATCACTACGACCTTAAAGATCTATTGTGCCCCTCTTCCTTGAGTCATCACCTGATGTCTCTAAGGTCGCAGAGATTAACCCCCCTCCCACTTATTCTAATTCTAATTCTACGGGTCTTGATGGAAAAGGGCATTTGCTCATATAAATATCTGCTTGTGAAATTTTGTCCAACTATTCAAGAGGACCTAGTCCAGGACAGTTTTCTCAGTATAATTCGGTTTTAAAATATTCTTTTGATGATAATAATATTATTTAATAATGAATTTATACCCTCCAATCCAAGAATCATACTTCTTCAGCTTCTTGTAAACTGCTAATGGACATGTGCCATCCAGTTCAAGAGGACCCGGCCAGGACGGTTTTCTCAGAAGAAACTGAGTTTATGAATAAAGTTTATAGATTTATATACAGTTTGCTAAAAAAATCAGGAAAATAGAGCTAAAAGAAAAAAATATAACTCTTTAATCTTGAAAAAAAAATCCGTTAAGATTTTTTGCATCTGAGTGTTTATACCACCTTATGGTATGTTGTATCTGTTACTATTCTTTTTATTGCTCAACACTACATTGAGGTGTTTCTCGCTGTGAAATTTCCCTTTTGAGGGTGTTATGGGTGTCAAGCACTATTCCCTCACGTAATCAATGAACGCCTCTTTAATTAGGTACCTCTAGAAATTATTTTCGTTACGTTTTTTCTAGGTGGTATAATCCCCGAGCTAGACATATACGCCATTCCGTCTTGCGAGACTGCTCCCGTCAAAGAGATATACTTCGTTGCCATCATAGACGTGCTGACGCATTACGGTGTGAAAAAACAGGCCGCCAAAGCCGCCAAAACTGTCAAATACGGATCCAACGTCGACGGGATCAGTACTTGCGATCCCGAGCAGTACGCCAGAAGATTTATCGATTTCATGAGCAAATCCATAGAGTAGAGAAGAGGGATATAATTGTTTTGGGGCAATAATTTCGGTTGTTTTAGTTTGTTTAAGTTTCTGGACCGTTTGATCGAAAAAAGGCGTAACAAACAGCTGGGGAACGATGATAATGATAATTTTGGAGAGTACTACGGGCCAGGTAAATGACGTCTATACAGGGTGTTCCTTAATGACAGAATTAGAATATTTTACTACCCTGTATCTAAAAAGTTAAGATGTTTAGGACATATATTCATATGAAGTTTTTTTTCTTAGAATAGGTCCAAAAATCACCACCTTAAATATTAGCATGTCATTAAGGAACAACCTGTATAGGGCTTGACCTCGCCAAAATTATTTTCGATTGTCAGCCGTCTTTGACGCCTTTTTTTCGATCGTATGTTATAAAACGGTGTACTACTCCAAGCAACCTATCTTTATTAAGGGGTTTGGTTTAAACTGCAACAAGAAAATACAGGACGGTTTCTATTTATTAATATACAGGGTGTCCCAATAGAAGAATACACGCTACGGGGTGTATCTCGTAAACCAGGAGAGATACAGGGATGATTCAAATAGTTAAAAGTTGTGTCGTTTTGAATTCTACAAAGTGATAGTTTCGAATCTAAAAAAATCCGGATATTTTCGCAGAAACCCCTATTTTTTTCTAAAGATTTATCTTTTATTTTTTCCTGAATATATTTAAAAAGATACTACAATAAAGATTTTACGTTCTTTTATTATTTTTGCAGCTCTAAAAGCTGGTGTTGTCAGATTTTTAATCGGACTTCAACTCTATGTTTCTTTTATTTTTTTTTATTATTATTATACATTTTTTGGGGGTTTGGGGGGTAAGTGTAATACATCGTTGTATTTGGAAGATTCTAGGCTTCGAAAAAATCGAATAAAAAATGCAGGTCCGTATTTGAAAAAATAGAGTTGATGATGATATTTCGGGAACGAAACGTCCGATTGGAAATCTGGCAACACCGACTTGTAGAGCGGGGAAAATTGCAATAGGAATGTGAAGTTTGTATTGTCGTATATTTTCAAATTGATTGAGAAAAAAAATAAATAAAAAAAATCGTGAAAATTTGGGGTTTCCCAAAAAAACTGTTCCCTAATTTAACCATTTTTGTAGTTGTAGCGTGCATTTTTACATGGGACATTCTGTATTCGTGCTGTGTAACTGTTTTTTGGCAGCTGGGTTTCTAAAAGCAAAATGTTACTTGATATTAAAATATTTTAAAAAAATTATACAAAAAGTTTGTCTTTTTTGGAAAAAGGTTGCTAGTAATTAAAATTTACAGATATCTGAATATTACACATGGTTAACGCACAAAATTTATTAATATTTTTTATGTTTTTTAAGGCTCTTTTTAATTTTTCAAAAATTATTTTTGAGTAAAACTCACCAGAGCAATATCGTTTCTAGTCTTCTATATATGTATATTTTTTTCGCTAACATAATATTATAGAGTCAATGCCACTATACTTGCTGGAAAATGTACGTTTTTTTCGGGGTATTGAACAATTTTTTCTACATAATTAGTAATAATAATCTCTTAATGTTAAATGTTTTATATGTATAGTTCATAAAATAAATATATTAACCACTTTACTATCAGAAAAAAACAACAATGGTATGTTTTTAAACGGCAGGATCAAGTTTCAGTCGATTCAGTGTCGTATCATTAGTATTTTTTGCGATTTTTTGTGTTTTTTTTATTCAGAAGTGGGATTTTTTACTGAAAATATTTTTTCTAAGAAACCTATTAATGAACTGTAGTTTAGGTATTTTATTATTATCTTCTATAGTTTGCTCAATGGTCTTTACTAACAAGAATTATACAGGGTATTTCTGAAGAAGTGTCCGATATTTTACTGGGTGATTTTTCAAGTATTTTTAAGGTAAAATGTTTATATAAACATATATTCTAAAATACTTCGTTTTTGAGATTTGAAAAAATGTTTTTTTTAAATATCTTCTGATCCACTCCAGATATTTTTATGGGATTTCGTACAAGTCTTTTCACAATTAAGGGGCATTTTTCTATAAAAAATATACTTTCTCAAATTTTCACCAGTGCCGTTCGTACGGGGCATCTACTGGATATTTTTTAAGAAAAAAATTGTACGCCACTGATTTTTCTTAAAATAAAATTCATTTTTAGTATCCCCATTTATTTGAGAACAAATTATATATCTTAGTATTTTTGTGAGGTTCACGGTTTTCGCGTAAAAAAATAAAAACCATTTTAATGCGTGGTGTTAAGTTGCTAAGTACCCTGTTAAAAATCGGACGCTTGTTCAAAAACACCCTGTATATGTAAGAAGATATAAAAAAAACTTTCTTCTATCTTTCTTGTATTTTATTTCGAGCGATACGAACTTTGTACAGGGTGTCTGAATTTTGATGGATCACTCTATAATTTGGGACACACTGTATGTCGAATTCACTGAAATTAAAATGTTTTTTTCTACATTTTTTCTACGTCTATATCCCTGTGAATGTACGGAATCATATATTGTTGATATATAATTATTGTTAAGCTTTTTAGGTATAATGTTTATAATGTTTATGAAAAATATTTCATAGATATTTAATATAGTAAATAATATATAGTAAAAAATGTAAAGTATATTGATAAATCAGATTAAATCCAGGGTATGAAGTTCATGAAAAATTAGAAATAGTAATAACTTTGCATGGTTATTTTTCTAGTTCTTATGTATATATAAAACTACCTAATGTAGTATTTCAATTTGAAAAAAAAATGATATTTTCGTGTGTATATATAGAATATTACCAGCATACTTTGTGATTTACCTTTTTTGTAACTTTTTATATTATTTTATGTTACTTTTTGGTTGTTTGTTATTTTATTATGTAGTAGTTCATTAATACATGCATTTTCAATCTATATTTTCTTTTATTTTTGTTTCTTTTTGATTTTTTACTTGTATTAGAAATAAAGAAAATATACAGTGCATGCCGAAAAGTTCAATAACGAATTTTTTTGGCAAGTACTGTATAAAAAATCTACTAAGTCTACTAAAGTAAGACATATTATTATTAAACTTGATATATAACAGCCTACTACTATATTTGTCTAAAGTATAACTCTACTTAAATAAAAAAAAATAGGGGTTGCTTTTAATAAGCTTTTAAAGTAATTCATACTATGTCTCGCACAAATCTGTGTGGTTCTAAACATGTTATATATGTGTTTATATAGAGTACCTTTTGTATTTCTCAATTTTTCGATGTTTAGAAAATTTTTAATAAAAAAATTATCGTTCAGATGTTCTTTGTTTCATTTTATTGCCTATATTTCCGTATTTTTTTCGAGTAGAAATCAAAATTTAGCCAGAAACAATAGAAAATAGTATTTTTATTAGTTTTTGATATGTTTCTTAGCCAAAAAAACAGTTTAACATTATAAAATTCGTAAATAAATGGTGAACAGTTTTTTTTAATCGAAAAGTAAAAGTAGTTCCAGTAAATTTCGATGTAAACGCCCATCCCTACTAGTAGGTTTTTTGACCCAGAAAAGATGACATTTCCAAACAACAACAAACAGCTGATTCCGACTTTGACGTCTATTCAAACTGGCGTTTTGAAGGAAAAATTTCAAAATATTTAGAATTTTAAAGGTTTTTACTAGTAAAAAAGGGTTTAACACTGTAAATGTCCTAAATAAACTGTCAATTAACCGGTAAGTTTATCTTTTTTAGTCAGTAAAAGTATAAATAGATCTTGTGAATTAGATATAAAGAACAAACAAATAGGCTGGTTTTATGATAAATCAATATTTTTGTTTCAATATATAGGGCAAGTTCTGGGTGTAGACCTTTTTATTTATTAAAAACAATATAAGTAGGGTGAAACGCACCTATATTTTGGCGTATTAATTAGCTAATTGTTCTAGATATGTAGGTATTTTCAGACAGAATTTCATAAAGAAGTTAGTACACTGCAGTACACCTGAAAAATTACATTTTTAACTATATATCACAGTAAGTATGTCCCATTATTTTATCTAATATACCAATAACACAATTGTCTTGATTTTTAGAAGGTTTAAAAAATGGTGAGGGTCATATCAGTTCACCATTTTGCTGGACAAAACATTCAAACCGTTGAACAGCCTACAGCTTGCACTGTAGCACCTCCAAATAGATTATTACTAGCCTTAACAAGTAACTGCATCGAAGTAAGAGACCTACTGAAAGATTCTGAAGTCCAGTTCAGTTTCCCGACAGTTGATGAGGCCATACAACTAATACATTGTCTAAATGGTATACAAACAGGAATATTTAAACAGAATTTTAGTCTAAAATGTTGTTTTTTATATAGGGGACTATGTGGCATCTTTGGAAACGAAATTCAATCGCCAAAATCGCGAGACTAATTTTGTAAGGGTGTATATCAATTGGGACAGTGTAGCTACCTTGCAGCAATCGAAAATGAACTCTAACAATGTTAGTTTGGGTTCTTCAGAGTGTGGAATGGTATGTTTAGTGTAGTTTTTTTTATGAATGTTATAGCAGATTAATTATTATCTTTTCTTTCAAGGTACAGCCAATGAGGGCTAGGATTGCAGGTAGGGTAACCCCTACTACAAATCAGTCTGAAGTGGGTAGCCTGGAAATGATAGAAATACCAGTAAAGCGCAATCCCAATTGTATTGCATGTTGTCAGGTTAGTTGTACGGTTTTTTTTTCTAAAATTTACACAGGATGTTCAAAAAATGCCAGGATATGTGGAAAATAGTTCCTCTAACCTGTTAACACTTAAAAAAAATGTTTTTTACTGATTATCTTTGATACCCTCCCTGTAGCTGAATTTTTTGAAATTTGTCAGTGTTATTTTCAGTAATACTGGCCTGGTTTAGGCTTAATTTAATGCGAAATTAACTCCAGTAGTATTGTAAGTAAAACCTTATCGTAAATAATTAGTAAAAAAATGTGCACCACTGACTTTTTTGAAGTTTTTATATTTTACCTAGATTAAGCAACGAAAAATACCACTTTTATCTCTCTTGTACCATATGCCTGTCTGGAACGGGTTTCGAGAAAAAAAAATTAAACCAAGTCATTGCAGGTATTTCTGGACACTATTTAAAAAACTTTGATTTTAATTTGCAACTAAAGTATTTGATCAATTACAGTTTATAACATTAATGTTCGGTGCTTCTATCTAGAGCAGATTCAAAAATATTAATAGTATTTCAGATAATTTAAAAAAAAAATTTAAAGACTTATTTTTTATAAATATGGGTATTTTATGAAAACTGCTCTTATTTACTAATTAAAAGGCGTAGCATAAGAAAATACAGACCGTTGTAGTCTTACAAGTACGGTATTAGTTGTAAGGAATGTTTTAACTACCATCAAAAATAGCTCAAAAACAAGGGGTTAAAAAATTAATTTTCTCAGAAAACCAAGGCTTCTAGGCCTTCGAAGGTGTGTATATTCTGAATCTACATAAAATTTGCTACAAATACTGGTATTTTCATAATTTTATAACTATGTTTACCCACTAAAACCTCTTAAAATGTGAAGAAAAAATAAAAGTGGGCATTTAATAAGTAGCTCAAAACAAGGTTCAAAAATTTGAATTTTCTCTCACAAAAACATAGACATAAGCCTTGAAGGTGAAAATAGTTCCTCTAACCTGTTAACACTTAAAAAATGTTTTTTACTGATTATCTTTGATACCCTCCCTGTAGCTGATAATTTTTACAAATTTGTCAGTTCTTATTTTTAGTAACTATGTGGCCTGGTTTTTCCAAAGGCCTCTAAAATGTGAAATTAACTCATTTAGTATTGTAAGTAAAACCTTATAAGCTAAATAATTAGGTTTCAAAAAATGTACACCACTGACAAGATTTATTTTTGAAAATAGGTATGTGTATATATTCTGAAAACTGCTGTTATTTACTAATTACTGAGGCGAAGCATAAGAAAATAACAGACCGTTGTAGTTTTTCAAGCCTCTAAAAGTGAAAAAAAATGTTTAAAATTGGGCATTTAATAAGTAGCTCAAAAACAAGGGGTTAAAAAATTAATTTTCTCAGAAAACCAAGGCTTCTAGGCCTTCGAAGGTGTGTATATTCTGAATCTACATAAAATTTGCTACAAATACTGGTATTTTCATAATTTTATAACTATGTTTACTATTTTTTCAAAACCTCTTAAAATGTGAAGAAAAAATATTTAAAAATTGGGCATTTAATAAGTAGCTCAAAAACAAGGGTTCAAAAATTTAATTTTCTCACAAAACATAGACATCTAAGCCTTCGAAGGTGTATATATTCTGAATCTACATATAATTTCCTACAAATACTGGTATTTTCATAATTTTATAACTATGTTTACTATTTTTTCAAGGCCTCTAAAAATGTGAAAAAAAAAATATTTAAAAATTGGGCATTTAATAAGTAGCTCAAAAACAAAGGTTTCAAAAAAATTAATTTTCTTACAAAACATAGACATCTAAACCTTCGAAGGTGTATATATTCTGAATCTACATATAATTTCCTACAAATACTGGTATTTTCATAATTTATAACTATGTTTACTATTTTTCAAAGGCCTCTAAAAATGTGAAAAAAAAAAATATTTAAAAATTGGGCATTTAATAAGTAGCTCAAAAACAAGGGTTCAAAAATTAATTTTCTTACAAAACATAGACATCTGAACCTTGAAGGTGTATATATTCTGAATCTACATATAATTTCCTACAAATACTGGTATTTTCATAATTTTATAACTATGTTTACTATTTTTTTCAAGGCCTCTAAAAATGTGAAAAAAAAAATATTTAAAAAATTGGGCATTTAATAAGTAGCTCAAAAACAAGGGTTCAAAAAATTGAATTTTCTTACAAAACATAGACATCTAAGCCTTCGAGAGGTGTATATATTCTGAATCTACATATAATTTCCTACAAATACTGGTATTTTCATAATTTTATAACTATGTTTACTATTTTTCAAGGCCTCTAAAAATGTGAAAAAAAAATATTTAAAAAATTGGGCATTTAATAAGTAGCTCAAAAACAAAGGGTTCAAAAAATTAATTTTCTTACAAAACATAGACATCTAAGCCTTCAGAAGGTGTATATATTCTGAATCTACATATAATTTCCACCACAAATACTGGTATTTTCATAATTTTATAACTATGTTTACTATTTTTTCAAGGCCTCTAAAAATGTGAAAAAAAATATTTAAAAATTGGGCATTTAACAAGTAACAAAACAAGGGTTCAAAAATTAATTTTCTCACAAAACATAGACATCTAAGCTAACCGAAGGTGTATATATTCTGAATCTACATATAATTTCCTACAAATACTGGTATTTTCATAATTTTATAACTATGTTTACTATTTTTTCAAGGCCTCTAAAAATGTGAAAAAAAATATTTAAAAATTGGGCATTTAATAAGTAGCTCAAAAACAAGGGTTCAAAAAATTAATTTTCTTACAAAACATAGACATCTGAACCTTCGAAGGTGTATATATTCTGAATCTACATATAATTTCCTACAAATACTGGTATTTTCATAATTTTATAACTATGTTTACTATTTTTCAAGGCCTCTAAAATGTGGAAAAAAAATATTTAAAAAATTGGGCATTTAACAAGTAGCTCAAAAACAAGGGTTCAAAAAATTAATTTTCTCACAAAACATAGACATCTAAGCCTTCGAAGGTGTATATATTCTGAATCTACATATAATTTCCTACAAATACTGGTATTTTCATAATTTTATAACTATGTTTACTATTTTTCAAGGCCTCTAAAAATGTGAAAAAAAAAATATTTAAAATTGGGCATTTAATAAGTAGCTCAAAAACAAGGGTTCAAAAATTTATTTTCTCACAAAACATAGACATCTAAGCCTTCGAGGTGTATATATTCTGAATCTACATATAATTTCCTACAAATACTGGTATTTTCATAATTTTATAACTATGTTTACTATTTTCAAGGCCTCTAAAATGTGAAAAAAAAAATATTTAAAAATTGGGCATTTAACAAGTAGCTCAAAAACAAGGGTTCAAAAATTAATTTTCTCACAAAACATAGACATCTAAGCCTTCGAAGGTGTATATATTCTGAATCTACATATAATTTCCTACAAATACTGGTATTTTCATAATTTTATAACTATGTTTACTATTTTTTTCAAGGCCTCTAAAAATGTGAAAAAAAAATATTTAAAAATTGGGCATTTAATAAGTAGCTCAAAAACAAGGGTTCAAAAATTTATTTTCTCACAAAACATAGACATCTAAGCCTTCGAAGGTGTATATATTCTGAATCTACATATAATTTCCTACAAATACTGGTATTTTCATAATTTTATAACTATGTTTACTATTTTTTCAAGGCCTCTAAAAATGTGAAAAAAAAATATTTAAAAATTGGGCATTTAATAAGTAGCTCAAAAACAAGGGTTCAAAAAATTAATTTTCTTACAAAACATAGACATCTGAACCTTCGAAGGTGTATATATTCTGAATCTACATATAATTTCCTACAAATACTGGTATTTTCATAATTTTATAACTATGTTTACTATTTTTTCAAGGCCTCTAAAAATGTGAAAAAAAATATTTAAAAATTGGGCATTTAACAAGTAGCTCAAAAACAAGGGTTCAAAAAATTAATTTTCTCACAAAACATAGACATCTAAGCCTTCGAAGGTGTATATATTCTGAATCTACATATAATTTCCTACAAATACTGGTATTTTCATAATTTTATAACTATGTTTACTATTTTTTCAAGGCCTCTAAAAATGTGAAAAAAAAATATTTAAAAATTGGGCATTTAATAAGTAGCTCAAAAACAAGGGTTCAAAAATTTATTTTCTCACAAAACATAGACATCTAAGCCTTCGAAGGTGTATATATTCTGAATCTACATATAATTTCCTACAAATACTGGTATTTTCATAATTTTATAACTATGTTTACTATTTTTTCAAGGCCTCTAAAAATATGCAAAAAAAAATATTTAAAAATTGATCATTTAATAAGTAGCTCAAAAACAAGGGTTCAAAAATTTATTTTCTCACAAAACCAAGGCATCTAAGTCTTCGAAGGTGTATATATTCTGAATCTACATAAAATTTGCTATAAATACTGTTATCTTCATAATTTTAAAACTATGTTTACTATTTTTCTAAGGCCTTAGAAAATGTGTAAAAACATATTTAAAAATTGGGCATTTAACAAGGGTTCAAAAAATTAATTTTGTTACAAAATCAAGCCACCTAAGCCCTCAAAGGTGTACATATTCTGAATCTACATAAAATTTCCTACAAATACTGTTATTTTTATAATTTTATAACCAAGTTTACTATTTTTCTAAGACCTCTGAACATGTGTAAAAAATAGCCAAAAACTTTAGCCATTTTTTCTACTTTTATCCATATATATGTCATGAAAACTGGCGAAAATAGTGCTTCTGCCTACAGCAAATTCAAAAAAAAATAATGGTATTTAAGATAATTGCATAAAACGTGTTTTTTAAGTGTTTTAACATCAAATAGGTTTATAGTAACTTTTTTCATATTTTTTTATGAGGCATTTTTTGAACGCCCCTGTATACAATAGAATTTCATTCTTGTAGGTATCAGGAAACTTAGCAATTCTCTCGAATCGTATGATAAACATATACAAATTCCAAGTAAAAACTCACGATATTTCCAAAATGAAATTTGTCGATTTTGAAGAAATGTCTGTGATGATAGAATTAAGTTTTTCTCCCTTTGATATACAAATTTGTGAAAACTATATTGCGGCAGTAGGCCATGACACCCTACACGTATTCAGGATTTTAAATTCTGACAATAGCACTGAAAACAGCGCTGTATTGAATAGGCGAAACACCGAAAATGATTTTACATTTTTATGTAAGTTTATTTTATTAAAAATATTTTTGTATTTTTTAAATTCAATAAGACATTTTTTATATAGACTCTAAGGAAGAAGTTATCGATTTTAAGCAGTTAAAATCAGAGGAAAAGAATAAGAAACACAAAATTACTGTTAATCTTCCTAGCATTCTTAAAGAAAACAGTCTGGTACATAAACATAGTCCTTTTACCTTTACTGATAAAGATTTAAATGCCATTCTAAGACCCAGTTCGTTATTGGAGGTAAATTAATTTATATATACAGTACGTCTCACTAAAGATGACGACTCAAGGTCAAAATGTGCTAAATATTGTACAAAAATATTAGGTAATCACATCCCTTGGCAATATTATTCTTTCATATAAAAAATGTACCAAATAGCGTACAAAAACATTAGGTAACCACATCCCTTGAATTAATTGACACGTTTCAGGGCTGGTATTTCTACATTGCCGTGTTTAATCCAGGGCTGTGGTTTATTGAAGATACAGGGTGGTCTTGTATCATTGTCATCTTTTGCGGAACGTACTTTTTAAATTACATAAATAAATTTAAAAATCTTTATAATTTTTTTCTTAGAATAAAATTAATCAAAACTACGAACTACAGGATCTGATTCAGCTGAAATTAGTACCGATTTTAATAGAAAACAACCAAAGACAAGTAACCGAGGAGTTTAAAAGTATGGTTTTAAAACCGCTGTACATTGACCAACAATTAAACAACAATAATCCGGAGAATAATAATATAAACACAGAATTACAAAGCTCTTATAAAAAATGTTTTAATGGCATTTCTTTTATGATAGCTACGCAGCAAGAAGGATATTTGTATTTCTTTGGAGACTCAGGTAAAAAAGTGTAGATATATTTTATTTAATTATTTTATACTACTTTTTTCTAAACACTGTGAAATGTTTTACAGATAATTCCCTCGACAAAGACTACTGTATTGCAGTGTACCCATTCACTGCACCAGTGTTTAAAATCATCATGGAAGACTATTTTCTACACGCCTTAACCGAAACGGGCCTCGAATCATATACGCTTAGAATAGGTCATCAGCTTTGTAGAAATTTCGATAATATTGACAGTAAGCAAATGGTATGGGAACTACGGGAATTTACTGCCATACGATCGAAAAAAAAACGGCGTTATACACGGCTGGGAATGACGATCGATGATAATTTTGGCGAGGGCAAGCTCTAGATTTTATTTACTTGGCCCTAATACTTTTCTTTATTTTTTACTGTGGCTTTTACTACCAATTACAGCCTTAAGAAGGTTGCAATTTATTTTTATATCGGAATTAAAGTGAGATTTTTATTCTCCCCGGCTTTCTTTGACGTCGTTTTTTTTTCGATAAGACGGTATTTTTTAAAAAGTCTAATAAAGGCTGATTTTGTAGGCTTTTCCATCAATTGATGATTCTATTTGTTTAGTAGGCCTAAGACCGTTTTTAGGTGTAGAAAAATTATTGCTGGCCGAAAACTACTTGATATTGCTGGCCAATGCTGATAATTCGCCAGCACATTCTGTCAGCTCCAGTGGCAGGTAATTTCTGCTTTGATTTTTTTTTTGTTATTTTTTTTTTTATTTTTTTTTCTAGACCCTTTAGTATTTTGTTTTTTATATTTTTAGCTCTACAGCTTCGTTTCTAACGCTCTACAGTCTCGAATTGCCCTGTCCCAAAGTTATTTTTAACGACATATCCATCGTGGCTAACGTACATCGATTTACCTCTGCACAAACGTACTGTCATCTAGTAAGCGAGGCACACATGATCCTAAGAATGGCCCTGATGCTGAAAAAATGGTCGATCACAGACGATTCAACTGTAAAATTAATTTTCGAGAAAAGAAATATAACTGAGGATGTAGTAGAAACGTACAAGGTGTCATGCGCCTTATTGGGCGATCATTATATCATGTAAGTAGTGTTTTTAACGGTATATTAGCTACTTTAGGCTGGAGACGGGCTGTTATTTCACCGAAAGTTATTTTAGAACTGATATTTTGAAATAACAGATCGCAACACCACTTCTAAAAATAACAGTTTATATAACGGGTATATAACAGTATTAGCTAAAAGACAGGTACTTTAGGATAGAGACGGTTTGCTATTTAACAGTATGTTATTTTAGAACTGTTATTCAGAAATAACAGTTCGCAACACCACTTCTAAAAATAACAGTTTATGTAAAGGGTATATAACAGTATTAGCTAAAAGACAGGTACTTTAGGATAGAGACGGTTTTCTATTTAACAACCTGATGTTTTAGAACTGTTATTCAGAAATAACAGTTCGCAACACCACTTCTAAAAATAACAGTTTATGTAAAGGACATATAATCTATTAGGTAAAAGACACATACTTTAGGATAGAAACGGTTTGCTATTTAACAATTTGTTATTTTAGAACTGTTATTCAGAAATAACAGTTCGCAACACCACTTCTAAAAATAACAGTTTATGTAAAGGGTATATAACAGTATTAGCTAAAAGACAGGTACTTTAGGATAGAGACGGTTTTCTATTTAACAACCTGATGTTTTAGAACTGTTATTCAGAAATAACAGTTCGCAAAACCACTTCTAAAAATAACAGTTTATGTAAAGGATATATAATCTATTAGGTAAAAGACACATACTTTAGGATAGAGACGGTTTGCTATTTAACAATTTGTTATTTTAGAACTGTTATTCAGAAATAACAGTTCGCAACACCACTCTAAAAAATAACAGTTTATATAAAGGGTATACAACAGTATTAGCTAAAAGACAGGTACTTTAGGATAGAGACGGTTTTCTATTTAACAACCTGATGTTTTAGAACTGTTATTCAGAAATAACAGTTCGCAACACTACTTCTAAAAATAACAGTTTATGTAAAGGATATATAATCTATTAGGTAAAAAGACACATACTTTAGGATAGAGACGGTTTTCTATTTAACAAATTTGTTGTTTTAGAACTGTTATTCAGAAGTAGCAGTTCGCAACACCACTTCTAAAAATAACAGTTTATGTAAAGGGTATATAACAGTATTAGCTAAAAGACAGGTACTTTAGGATAGAGACGGTTTTCTATTTAACAACCTGATGTTTTTTAGAACTGTTATTCAGAAATAACAGTTCGCAACACCACTTCTAAAAATAACAGTTTATGTAAAGGGTATATAACAGTATTAGGTAAAAGACACATACTTTAGGATAGAGACGGTTTGCTATTTAACAATTTGTTATTTTAGAACTATTATTCAGAAATAACAGTTCGCAACACCACTTCTAAAAATAACAGTTTATGTAAAGGGTATATAACAGTATTAGCTAAAAGACAGGTACTTTAGGATAGAGACGGTTTTCTATTTAACAACCTGATATTTTAGAACTGTTATTCAGAAATAACAGTTCGCAAACCACTTCTAAAAATAACAGTTTATGTAAAGGGTATATAATAATCTATTAGGTAAAAGACACATACTTTAGGATAGAGACGGTTTGCTATTTAACAATTTGTTGTTTTAGAACTGTTATTCAGAAGTAGCAGTTCGCAACACCACTTCTAAAAATAACAGTTTATGTAAAGGGTATACAACAGTATTAGCTAAAAGACAGGTACTTTAGGATAGAGACGGTTTTCTATTTAACAACCTGATGTTTTAGAACTGTTATTCAGAAATAACAGTTCGCAAGACCACTTCTAAAAATAACAGTTTATGTAAAGGATATATAATCTATTAGGTAAAAGACACATACTTTAGGATAGAGACGGTTTGCTATTTAACAATTTGTTATTTTAGAACTGTTATTCAGAAGTAGCAGTTCGCAACACCACTTCTAAAAATAACAGTTTATGTAAAGGGTATACAACAGTATTAGCTAAAAGACAGGTACTTTAGGATAGAGACGGTTTTCTATTTAACAACCTGATGTTTTAGAACTGTTATTCAGAAATAACAGTTCGCAACACCACTTCTAAAAATAACAGTTTATGTAAAGGGTATATAACAGTATTAGGTAAAAGACAGGTATTTTAGGGTAGAGACGGTTTGCTATTTAACAATTTGTTATTTTAGAACTGTTATTCAGAAGTAGCAGTTCGCAACACCACTTCTAAAAATAACAGTTTATGTAAAGGGTATACAACAGTATTAGCTAAAAGACAGGTACTTTAGGATAGAGACGGTTTTCTATTTAACAACCTGATGTTTTAGAACTGTTATTCAGAAATAACAGTTCGCAAAACCACTCTAAAAATAACAGTTTATGTAAAGGACATATAATCTATTAGGTAAAAGACACATACTTTAGGATAGAAACGGTTTGCTATTTAACAATTTGTTATTTTAGAACTGTTATTCAGAAATAACAGTTCGCAACACCACTTCTAAAAATAACAGTTTATGTAAAGGGTATATAACAGTATTAGCTAAAAGACAGGTACTTTAGGATAGAGACGGTTTTCTATTTAACAACCTGATGTTTTAGAACTGTTATTCAGAAATAACAGTTCGCAACACCACTTCTAAAAATAACAGTTTATGTAAAGGATATATAATCTATTAGGTAAAAGACACATACTTTAGGATAGAGACGGTTTGCTATTTAACAATTTGTTATTTTAGAACTGTTATTAGTTAACTGTTAATTTAGTTACCACTTCTAAAAATAACAGTTTATGTAAAGGGTATACAACAGTATTAGCTAAAAGACAGGTACTTTAGGATAGAGACGGTTTTCTATTTAACAACCTGATGTTTTAGAACTGTTATTCAGAAATAACAGTTCGCAACACCACTTCTAAAAATAACAGTTTATGTAAAGGGTATATAACAGTATTAGCTAAAAGACAGGTACTTTAGGATAGAGACGGTTTTCTATTTAACAACCTGATGTTTTAGAACTGTTATTCAGAAATAACAGTTTGCAACACCACTTCTAAAAATAACAGTTTATATTATGGGATATAACAGTATTAGCTTAGTATTAGCTGTACTTTAGAATAGAGACGGTTTTCTATTTAACAACCTGATGTTTTAGAACTGTTATTCAGAAATAACAGTTCGCAACACCACTTCTAAAAATAACAGTTTATGTAAAGGATATATAATCTATTAGGTAAAAGACACATACTTTAGGATAGAGACGGTTTGCTATTTAACAATTTGTTATTTTAGAACTGTTATTCAGAAATAACAATTCGTAACACCACTTCTAAAAATAACAGTTTATGTAAACGGTATATAATAGTATTAGCTAAAAGACAGGTACTTTAAGGATAGAGACGGTTTACTATTTAACAATCTGATATTTTAAAACTGTTATTCAGAAATAACAGTTCTCAACACCACATCTAAAAAATAACAGTGCCCTACGCGTTAAAATAGATTACAACACTTGTTACTTATCGAAAAATAACAGATATTAAAATAACACTTTGTTGACTATGTCTTTTTAGAAATATACAGTCTTGTCCATACCTATTTTAAATTCTTTGTCGTTTTAAATTAATATCAATTGAAGATTATTACTAGACAAACACATAAGTTTATGATTTTTGATTAAGGTACTCTTTTAAGGTGTCCAAACGAGGACAACTACATTTTGGCGGTACCTTACTATAAAATGGCCGGCTTGAATCCTTTAAACGTCTTGAAAAGAGTGAAAACCCTTCAGGAACAGTGTAGCAAACAGGTACTTACACGATTATAATCGTTGTAAATCTGTGGTCTGTATTATATTTTTTTTAGACAACCAAAGGCTTGATGTACTACCTGAAATACACTTTATTGGAAATAAAAACCATCTACGATGCGGATAGATATTTCGGTACAAATTCTAGAAATAGTTTTTCGGAAGCCATGTTGGATCTTCTAGAAAGTCAAGGATATAGTGATTTGCCTAATTTGATCCTTAAAAGTAGAGTTTTGAGAGAGTACTCCACCGATAAACTTATAACGATATTAACTGAACGATGTTTAGAGTAAGTACCACAGTACCGTCGAAAAAAAAACGGCGTCATGTGGATATATTATTTTTTTAGGCCTACAAGTTTGTCAGAAAAATATCTGGCCTTGTGTATCCTGTACATACAGAAATGCAATAGTCAAAAAGCGGAAGATAATGTTCAGAAAATAACCAAAGAAAATTTGAGTAATTTGTTAATGGATAATTGGGAACTGTTATTCGAGACAACGTACGTGGCCCAGAATAACAGTAATAACAGGGTTCAGAAGGGTGCGATTAGTTTTTCTGAGTTGGCTGTACTATTGATCACGGTTTGTCCCGAAATTCTGTCGGATTTATTCGTTACTCTGATTATGGATAAGAAAGTTATCAATTTGAGCAAGACGATTAAGGTATTTGAGTTAGTTCTATAGGAATAGTATACAAATTGTAACATTTTAATATTAAAAATTTAGTACTTTTCATATTAAAAATGTACTAAATATCGTACAAAATTTTTAGGTTATCACATCCCTTGGGTGTCACATATATTGTGAATTTTAATGCAAAAAACATTTTTCAGGTGTTTCTCGAGTACTTACCTTCGAGTATCGGTAACGATAGTACTTTTGCCAGTACGGTACTACAGAAAACTTTGGAGTCGTTTTTTATTCGATATTTTTCAAAGCCGGAAAACCTGGATGTGTCTAAAATTATGTACGAAAAAGGGGCCACAGATGCCATGAAACTACTAGTCAGATCGTATTTATCCCAGCTACAGATACTACAGTTGAAGATGGAGCACGAAAAAATATGCGAAACCGTGCAAAACGAGTGCGTATTATACCGGGTGTTTTTTAAAAGCGGTTCACGTCTATAAGTTTTTTATTTTTTCAGATAAAAGGAGATTTTGTATGTATGTACCTGGCATAAATCAGGATTGATTGACGTATCAGTTTCGCTTACTTCCTGTTTCACCGGAAATGACTACAATTTTTCATTTTTAAACGGTACCCTCCGTTTTTTTTACTTTATTCGATAGATAATGACGTTCTGGATAGAATGACATATCGTATGTCAACTTTTATTGACATTCTCGCATAAAGAATGGTATTTTAAATTTCAATCTAGAGTGCCATGCTTGTGATAAAACCATATGTAATATAAAACCGCGAATATCTGCGAAACTGTTAAACTTTTTGAAACACTTTAAATACAAAAAATGTTCGTTTTATAATTCTCCATCTAACAAAAAAATAATATACAGGGTGTTTCATTAAAAAATTGAAATTGAGACGTGGATTTTTGAACATCCCGTACGATTAAAGATTACCATATTTGTTGAAAAGTAAGTACGGACCTACCAGAGTAAACACTTAGTATAGAGTCTTATATTTTTAATATGTTTTTTTAAAGGCCGAAAAATATCTATTTTTTATGTTAATATATTAACATAAAAATATTAATAATTAATTAATATTAATATCTCTGAAACCGTTGAAACAAATTTAATTAAAAATATTTTGATATTTTTTTCTTTGGCACCTTCGCCCTTTCGTCAAGATTAAATTTTTATATAAGTTAAAACTGACATAAAAAACAGGGAAAAAATACAAAATAGAGGAAATAAATAAAAATTTAAATAGTAAGTAACCGAGAACAATTGAATACGTCAATCAATCCTGATTTATGTCATATACATACATACCAAATCCCGTTTTTTTATCTGAAAATATAAAAAAAGTTATAGGGGCGAACTATACTTTTGCAAAAACACCCGGTATTATCATTTGGCATTGTTGCAGATCGAAAGATATCGAGTCAAACTATGATACTACTTCAAATTTGGACGAGATTGAAAAGGATAAAGATCAGGAAAAATTGCAGTACAATCGAATTTATAAAACGTACTTTAACGAAAAATCTAGTAGGCCCAAAGGAGATTATCTATTCTCCGAATTGCGATACGAATATTTAGAAAAAATGCCTCCGTTTCAGATCGATATAACAACAAAACTTTACGAAGTTTGCGTGGATGGGTTTCAACCTAGAACGACATCTAGCGGAAGCGCCGAAGCCGACATAATTTTGAAGAAAATTCAGGCCTTGTTATGCAGCAAAATTGTACCAAAACAAGTGATTATCGAGGTATAAACATATATACACATTTTTTGCTTTGAAATATACAGTTTGTAACACTATTTTTTCGATTTATTAAAAATGTACTAAATATCGTACAAAAATTTTAGGCAATTACATCCCTTGTGTTGAAATAGCCCTAAAAATTACCCCCTTAAATATTAGCATTATAGTCATTAATGAACAACCTGTATACGTTTGTTTTCTTAACTATCAAGCGATCGAAAAAAAAAACGGTGTCATAGGCGGCTGGGGAACGAAGATCGACGATAATTTTTTTTCTATGATTATTAGTGTTAAGTTTTATGTTATTTTTTAGTCAGTAAATGACGTCTAGTGCAAAATTACGTCTATTGTCGTTTTGCAGCCGTCTCTGACGCCGTTTTTTTCGATCATACAGTATAATAATATTTTTACTAACTTTTTTTTGACTTAAGTATTTTGTTGTAAATTTTACAGGTAAATGGTTTTTTGGCTTTGAACGAAAACCTGAGAGGGAGTGACAGTTTGAAGTCGATAACTATGGGAATTAATGATGCGGTTTTACTATTAATCGACGTATGTCCTCAGTGTTTACTACAATTTGCTAAGGTATATATTGTTTTTTACGCTTTATTTTTATAACCGAAACCACGTATTAGTCCTAAATATTTTTCAGATCACCTGAACTTTCGAATTAAAAATGTACTAAATTTTGTACAAAATTTTTAGGTAATCACATCCATTGTGTTAATTTTTCTTTTTTGGTCTACGTATTAATCTTAAATGTTTTTCGGATCACCTAAACTTTCGAATTAAAAATGTACTAAATTTTGTACAAACATTTTCGGCAATCACATCCCTTGTGTTAATTTTTGCTTCAAACGTATAATTATACATATTATTTTTTTATATTAAAAAATATTGATACTTTTATACTTATTTTTTTTGTACTGAATTTAGGACAGATTTACGCGCGGTGAAGAATGGAAATTCTTGATCGCAACCCTGCAATGGAAAATTCTGAAATTATCCCAGAAAGAAGACTTGAAAAGGATCTGCTTCTTTCACAGAAAAGTTTTACGAGGTGATTTTTTAAATACATATTTTTTTTACTTTTTTTGGTAATACCTGAATTTCTTTTTGTTCAGATATTCTGACACACGCCGCATCATCGTTTACACTAGATCAGCTTCAGTTGATGTTTCCTCAGAGGTTCAGCAAATCGCAGTCCACTGAGTTTGACAGTTATTACTGTCAAAAAACGACCACCAAAGACATTATATACGAGTGCGGCAAAAAGTGCGAGATTGATGGCGTTTTAATACAGGAAGACGTCGAAGTAACCAACGAAGATTGCGCGATTTTGAACGAGATACAGAACTACGACCCGTACATAAGTATGTGCAAAAATAATCAAAAAGCTAACGAAGTGAATAAGATGTTGACCAGTAAGGCGCAGCAACTGTTGAATACGTTAAATTTGTAAGTTTTAATGTAAAAGAATTTAATTACATTAAAGTAAAAAATCATATGTACAAGACTTGGTTTTTTTTTATTTTAATATAGAAGTATAGTCTTCCAACAAGAGGATAAACATGACAGTGACAGGTATACAGGTATGCCTGTCATTTTAATTAACGGGTGAAATGTATTTTCTGTCATTTCTTCGATGCCACCTGTCAAAATATTTCCCGATTGTTGCATAGACTATACAGGGTGGTCCGAACTGTATTCCGGAAACTGCAGCAGCATATTCTGCAGATAAAAATAAGTTAAAAATTCGTATAAATGTATGTCCTAAAATGCTTAAACTACATTCTAAATCAATTCGCTGGCCGAGTCGTACTTTGGCACGCAAGCTTATCTTATGTACTTCAGTGTACTCATTCACAACAAAATTCGACGCCAGAGTGCAAGTTGAAGTTGGATTGAAAGCTTGCAAGCTGCAAACTTCCACTTCAGCACGGAATTTTCGTTTGACAATTATGACAAGTTTGACATTTAAATTTTAATAATTATTTTGTTTGTGTCGTTGTTACAAGCCATTTTCCTGTGAAAAGTAAATAATTATTAAAAGAAAAATGAGTGAAGGACGCTATTCTTATTTTATTAGGACTTGTGGCTTTGCTGTTAAATAAAACGGCAATTATTGTTGCAGCTCAATAATTAGCTTGACCGAAAACCAAGGGGTTTTCCAAAGCCCAAAAAATAAGGTGTCCGACCCATATTAATGGCGAGAAAAAGTTTTGGGTGCTTGAGACACATTTTAGAAAAAAATCATCAATAAATGACGTTTTTGTTTCCATTTTTCTAAACATAAAAACTTGGAAAACCTAATTAACAACTGTCCCGGATTTTGACTCTTCCAAAATCAAAACCAACAACTAACCTAAAAAATGTCAGGCGAACGTTTAAACTCAGGGTTGCCACAAGAAAATTTTTGATTGTGCAGAACTTGACCATAAAAATGTGTAGCATTGTGTAGCAATCCATGACCAATAATTGTAAACTATCCAATAAGACCAAGAATAAGACGTAAAATCGCCAAATTTTAAAGCATAATTACGAGTCTCGATAAGAGCCTCACTTCCACTCGTTTGTATACGTCAATATATTCATTTCCCATTCCATTTCTTCTCATGTCAGCAAATATTGCAATGACTTCAAAATTGATGTCGCGAAACTAACGATTTTATGGAAAACATGTGGAAAAAATATAAATGAGTGCGTTGGACATTTCGGATATATGGATCTCGAACTCCCTGTCTTTCATGTGGGATATTTTCGTAGTATCATTGCAGTACTTCAATCGGCCGGTTAAAAAGTCTGTTCAAAAACTGTAAACAATTCAGGACTGTTTAATCGGCCAAATTTGTCCATAGAAACTGCAGTCCTTGCTGATATGGGAGGAAAAGTGAAATAGGAATTGAATATTATTCACGTATTCCAACGAGTGGACCGAACTACAGTGAAATTTGGCCTCATAATTTGGCCAAAGTACGTGTTATGTATTATTTAAGGAATTAAGCAATCCTGTCTATTTACCGTTTTTGATTCGACCAATAGATGACCGAAAATGATATTTGTCAGTTCAAAATTTAAAGTTCACTTGCGGCCTCTTTTAATGTAACTTAGATAACTTAAAAGCAAAAAAAAACACCTTTTGTCAGCTGATTTACTGTTCTGGTATTATTTTTTATAATAAATATGTAAATTCTCAAAATGTGTAGCACAGGCCATTGTGGTGTAGCTGTGCAGTCATGGAAGCAAATGTGTAGCAAAATACACAATTGTGTAGCTTGTGGCAACCCTGTTTAAACTAAAGATGGGCAAAAGTAACTGGTTTTTTGAATAACCGGTATTTTCCTCTAAAATAACCGGTTATTTAAAGGTAGTTTTTTTTTCATCAGTTAACCTAATAACCTTGCATTACGTTCAATAACCTATAGCCGGTTATTTTTTAAAAAATCGTACTTGTTTAAAACAAGTAACAATTAAATATTAGCTGTTTGAATCGTAAATTTCGAAGAAGCGAACGGCACGGATCTTCAGATATTACGACGATAACGGGAGAAGTCGCTCCCACTCCCAAAACGAAAATATATGACATCAAACATCAAATGTCAAAATTAAATCAGGCATCAGGCGAACCCTGATGATGATAATCAAAACAACGGCCGAATGGCCCTGACAGGTCAGGCCGTAAAACAAAGTACTAATGCCATAGACTACTACTAGCCACCAGTTAGCCAAGTGATACGAACCTAACTTCAAATAGATTCTCTAAATTCTATATTTAAATTTTAACCGACGGATTTTCAACGGTTCTTCAAAAGTTTTCCATGGTTTCGCCCAGTTTCACCCACGTTTCGCCGTAAATATATTTTATTTGTAGTTTGAAGTCTCTCTTGAAGCTTAGACTAAAGAATACAAAATTGAAGTTCAAGTAATGAATGAAGATAATAGTTCATTAACTATTCATTCAGTCTCCTTATTTTTCTTTGGTATTTGATTGTAGTTATTAGGATTAAAATAACTTGGTTGTAGATTGTAGAACTTGTGAGTTGTGTGGTTTATTTGAACGTTAAGTAATTACTAGTTTTAATATCATATCCATGTCTACTCAAAAAAGTGAGGTTAGCATTTTTATTTAAATTCATTTTGTACATATACATACTTACATTGCTACAATCTCTATTTAATCATGCGATTTAACTAAGTTTATTATCTAAATTTGAAGTAGACCTATGGAGTGTAGAGGTAAGTAAACCTATAGGAAAACTAAATATTTAGTTTTGCTAGGTTAGGTTATTTGAATAACCGGTTAATTTGTGTCGATTAATTTTGTCAAGTTATTATTTTTTAAAGATAATTCCGGTTAACCTATAACCGGTTTTTTACCAATAACCGCCCATCTCTAGTTTAAACACGCATGCGCAAAATTCGAATTGAAATTTGTTGTGAATGGTTAATTTCGTGCCGACTTTAACGTCGAAGTGCCACTCGGCCAGCGAATTGATTTCGAATGTAGCTTTAGTCTCGGAAATACAGGGTGTAAAAATTTCATTTTTATTTCGATTTTTTCCAAATAATTTCTGAAATAACGTCTATATTTGGATGAAAATTGGTATCTGGGAGTTTTTTGACATGAGAAATTTGATTTTGATGTCAATATGATTCCTATTTGTAGGGGGGGGGGCACCTACATGTGTTTTAACGGTTTTGAAGAGTAATAACTTTTCATTCGTACCTGTATGAAAGCACTGAGTAAAAAAATATACATTTCTGTGATTTTTTACGTAAAAAATGTCTCGGTAAATATCGCTAGGAGTAACCTTTCTCAAAATATTTAGAATAGAAATAGTCGATACATGTCATTATTGACAAAAAAATAAACACGTTTAGTAAGGCGAGTTCTCACTTGTCACTGACGCAGTCTGACTGATTCAGTGACACTGAACAAATAATGAACGTCAGAACCTTTGAATAAGAAGACTAAGGAAGGAGCATAATGCTATCCATGTATTCATGCATGGTGGGCGGAAAAGCCACCATAAAAGCTCTCTAGGTTGGGGATCCTTGACAGTTCTGTTTGACGATTCATTTGACACATTTGAATTTGATTTGAAATTTTGTGGATTTGTCAGTCTTTACGGAGCTTATTTTATGTTATTTATTATTTATTCTACTACTGATAGTTGTATAAAGGTAGTAAATCTAGATAGAAATTGTGGCAGAACTTAAATTAACAGTGACACTATCGCGATTTATCGAAAAAGACTCTAAAATACCGTATGATCGAAAAAAAACGGCGTCCAGTTGGCTGGGAAATGAACATCAATGACATTTCCCATAGTAAATCTAGATGGAAATTGTGGCAGAACTTAAATTAACAGTGACACTATCGCATTTATCGAAAAAGACTCTAAAATAGTTGGTTGTGTAGCGTGCGGTAGATCTCGGCAAAAATTGAGTGAAATAATGGAACAACTTTTCGCTAGTAAGTGACTATAGGTATAATATACATACGTGTAGTAAACCGATCATTTATGAAATTCACTTAAATTAACTAAATTATATATTTTTCTTGCATTTTAGCTTTTATTTATTACTTGTCAAAGATTTAATGTCAAAGAATTTAGATATGTTAATTTGACTTACCTGCTTCAGTAGCGTATCGGATGTTTGTGTTAATAAATACTTATTATAACTTATCTATTTTTATTACAATTATATATTTTTATAACAATTTTAATAACTACCAACATTTATTCACAACGTAAAATAAAACAACAAATTATTGAGTCTACCCCACGTCTACCCTACATCATAGTTTTACATTTTTTAAATAAAATTAGAACGACACTGATAAACCGGAATTTAAGTCGGCCATATTTGAGGCCCATCGCGGTGTACCTAAGATTTTTGATATGCTCCTTCCTTAGTCTTCTTATTCAAAGGTCAGAACATATTTTCATGTTAAATGATCAGTGATCAGTACATTCGTACTTTCAGTTAAAGTGAAAACCAGTTCTACTTTTTTTCATTTTTGACTGATCATTATCGAATAATGAATAGAAACTGAAGCGTGAGAACTACATTTTCGTGATTTGTTCAGTTTACAAGTTAAAGTTAATTAATTCTTTTAATATAGTTTCACTAGCACTCCGTTTATTTCTTCGCAATATCCAGGATCTGACCCACCACCTACGACGTTTTCTTCTTTTCTGATTTACCAGAATATTCTGTACCTAATTAATTGCTAATATTGTAAACAAACATCGCGAACACCTGGTTTCAATTTTGTTTTAACCATATGTCTACGAAATCACCACGTTAAAATGATTGGAACTGAATACTGAATGTAGCAAAACATGAAACGTGTGACTACAATCGTTGTTTTTTATTTTTCTGCGTCAGCGAAACTGACAAGTGAGAACCCGCCATCAATTTGGGAAATTTTAATCTTTAAAAGATTAAGAAAAATTTCGCACAAAAACATTTCAAATATATGAGTCTAATAACTATTTAGTCAACA